TCAAACATTACGCCATGGGAGGGACATGTCAAGAGCATGGGGGCGTGCTCCCGGGATCTCGAGGGATCTCTGGCAGGTTTGCCGCGCTTCCGCTGGGAGATGGGGACTCCGGTGAGAGCTTGCGAGGTAAAACCCAGCGGCACGCCAGCGTTCCGTCGGCTTGGAGACGACGAGGTAGCATCAGCGCTCGAACGCACAACCGCTGGACCATGGCCTTGGCAAGGGGGTCCAAGGGGTAGAGGGGGAGAGGGGGGAGGGAGGAAGAGGTCAAGCTTCAGACGAAGAAGGGCATGGGTATGGGTATGGGTATGAGTATACAGGGTTCAGAGAATTGAGAGAGCGGGATAGAGAGAGAGAGAGAGAGAGGAATAGAGACATTCAGAGGGGCAACCATGGCGAGACGGCAAGAGGGCCACGCGCAGAGTTCAGATGGCATGCGCGTTTGGCAGAAGGCTCAAACAAGCGTATCCAATCGGAGGCGCACAAACGCCCGACGCAACCCAAATCGATAGCCCGGGCCGGCATGGAAGGTACGAGGGACAGCGACAGGGGAGCGATGATGGGACGGCAAGAGGCAAGCTGCGAGGCTACGAACGCGAAAAAACACGGGGATGGAAGGAAGGTGTTTCTGGTCCCGGCCAGGGTCCGCCCCCTCCCCCCCTGCCAGTCCGGCTCACGGTGGAGCGCGCCGTGTAGCATTCTGCGCCCGGGTCGCCCACAGGCCGTCCGCCGAAACGGTCCTGACACACGGCATCATGGTGCAACAGTCGCAAGGCACGACCCCCTTCCCGAGCCCCACAACTGCTGGCTGAGCTGCAAAGCTCTTTCCAGGTAGGTAGCTGTCTTGTCTGCCAAGCGCGCCGCCACAGCGCCTCCTGTCAGTATCAAGGTCTCATCATGTGCTGTGCCTACCTATCTAGGTTTCCTAGGTAGGTAGGTAGGTAGGTAGAAATGACAAGCAAGCCATCTTCCCCCATAGCGCGTTCATTAAAGAATCTCGCGGAGAAACTGAACCATGCACACACTCTCC